TCCTTGCCCTTCGCTGGACACGCTCCAGCACCTCAATGTCCTTCTTGTAGTGAGGGGCCCAAAACTGAACACAGCACTCGAGGTGCGGGCTCACCAGTGCAGAGTACAAAAAGAAATGGTCAGATGAGGTGGACAGCCAGCTTGCTTGCTGGGGCTGGGGGCTTTGACCATGCAGAAGGCTGGCAGCAGAATTAAGGTCATCACTGCCTAACCCTAACCATGCAGAATGCCTTCTTCACAGTATGTGTGCTGCCTGGGCCGCAGTGTTCCCTGCATGCTTGAGAGTGGAGATGTTTGGGGGTTTTGTTTTGTGTGTGGTTTTTTTTGTTTGTTTGGTTTTTTTTGCAATGCCTTGCTGCTGCAGTCAAGATAAAGTTAGAAATATGTATGAGAGTTGCACTTGCTGCAGTTTGCACTTTTTTTTTGCAGCAGAGCAACTGCGCTGAAATGTGTTTGTGGCTGAAGTGCTTCTGCCACAGAGCTGTGCTGGTGGAATGGTGATGGCATTTCAGAGCTGCATTCCCAGAAAAGTGTCCATATTGGGGGGGGAAATGGGATGGTGCTGTCTGGGCCTTCTGGCTTGGATCAGGCTTGCTTGTAGCCTGCTTGGCTCCTACAGCACTGGCTTTTGGCTGCCAGTAGCATCTTCATCCAGCACAAAGTGGGGGTACCAAAGGCAGGACAGACTCCTCAGCCCACCCTGCACTTGGTAAACCCGGCTGCCACTTGCACGGGTTTCTTTCTCCCCCTTGTCCTTGATGGCCAATGCAGCTGAGCAACCGTGGCTCTACCATCAGGCTGTGGAAGAGGGGATTAGAGAGGAAATTGCTGCAGAAGAGCCCTGCGGGAACCGACTGTAAGGAAATGGGAAAAGCTCCTGTTCAGGTTTGCCTGGAGAGGAGACAGCCTGTGGCTGACGGCGTGGTGCTGCCTCACCCCAGAGCCACTGGGAAGGTGCTGGAGTTGCCTTTGGTGCCTTGTGCTTGGGGGTGAGGAGGAGGAGGGTGCCAGAGGGCAACACAGCCCGTGGCCTTCAGGCACAGAAGAGCTGCCCTTCCGTGCCCACAGCCAGGGCTGAGGAGGGAAGTTGTGCAGCTGGGGACAGCGGAGAAGCACGGGCTGAAGTCCTTGCCAGGGAGTCTGCCTGGCAGCTGCTCTGCAACAAACCTAGGGCTCCGTGGGCGGCTTTTTGTTGTCTTTTGCCACTTCCAGTTGCTTCTGGGCACAAGTAAGGACTGACCCACACTTGTGCAGAATCAGTGAGTTTCTATAAACAAGAAATGAAATGTGTGAAGATGGCTTTGGGGGAGTTTGTTTTTCAAAGAACAGCTCCTGTGAGGCAGCTCTGACTGTGGGCAAGTACGGTGCCATTGCTGCAAGCCCTGTGGGCTCAGCTGCTGGGGCAGCCCTTGCGCAAGCTGACAGTAACATTTTTGCCCTCCTTGACATTCAGGCCCCAAAGCCAGCGGCAGTGGGACAGCAGCTGCCAAGGGCTTGCAGCAGCTGCTGAAGTTTGACCAGTATCCAAACTTCAGCTGGGGCAGAGGAATGCCAGCATAGTTCATATCGAGCTGCCCAGAGGCAGGGGGAGCGCTGGGTGACATAGACTTGTTCCAACCCAAGTCCTCCAGAACCTGAGAGCTGGTGAAAGTGTGTCTCTTAAGAAAGAAAAGTGGTTCTCAAGGTAGAAACATTTATCTTTTTTCCTTATCAGTCTTGAAACAGAATTGGGAAGTGCAACAAAGCCCCTCGCCTGCTGTGTGGACACAACAACTTTGCATTTACCCAGCTCCTCTGCTGCGTGGGGCCAGGATGCTCAGGAGGATGAGCCTGGGACAAGAGCCATCCCTCACGAATCCTCACCAGTGACACTCCTCACGGTGGAAGCCATGGTCCTCATGGGCAAAGCAAGGGACAACAGTGCTTCAGCTGCACTCCCAGCTGCTCCACAGGGACTCGTACAGAGCACAATGCCAGAGGACACTGAAGGCAGAGACGCGATGCTTATGGCAGGAGTCAGGGTGCTGCCCAGGATCCCATCCTGGCTGCAGGTGCCTGTGAGCTCTCAGCACCGAGGTGCACTCACCTTTGTAATGGTGTTTGGTATCTCCTGCAGACTCTGCTGCTGCTTTCACCCTCCCAGCTCAGCTTATGTTGCAGGAGCAAGTGGAAAGGGACAGGCTGCAAAAGCAAAACTGCTAAACTGCTCCTGGAGCCTTTGAAAATGCAGACAAACACCAGTGATACGCTCAGATCTTTATTAGGTGGAGGAAGGGCTAAAAAGAAATTAAACTCCTAAAACATTCATAGAATCATAGAATCATAGAATGGTTTGGTTGGCAGGGACCTTGAAGATCATCTAGTTCCAACCCCCCTGCAATAGGCAGGGACACCTTCCACCAGACCAGGTTGCTCAAAGCACTGGTGCAGGACATAAAGGACCAGGAGTTGCCTCCAGGGTCTTCATTTTAAAAAAAGTGGGGAGGGACAGGTGAAGTTTCCATCCAGTAGCTCTGGCCTTCCTGGGCAGTGTGGCTCAGGGCAAAAAGAGGTACAAGACACAGCTTATACTTTTATTTAAGAAACCGCTACATAGTTTTTTGCCTCTAATGATGCAAAGGAGGTTCCAGGACACACTGAGCCATCCGAAGTCTTCTGCTAGAGAAACAAAAAAAACCCCCAACCAACCAAAAAAGAAAACCCTGTCTTTTTTTTATTATTCAAAAATTGAAAAATAAAAAGGTGAGGCTGCAGCTCAGGGCCACAGTGACCAAACTGCCAACAAGAGTTTGTCTTCCACAGCAGGAGAGAGGGGGGAGACAAAAGAAAGGGGAAGGTTCACAAAACATTTTTTTTCTTTTTTTTTCCTCTTTAAAGTAACAACTATATTGGGGACTGAGGACACATCTTGATTCGGGTGTTTCTTTTGTTTTTGTTTTGGTTTTTTTGGGGGGAAGGGGGGGGAAACGACGACAGGTTGGGGGGCAGGCCTCCTTATTTGCCTGAATTTAGAACTGCATTAAATAAATGGGCTCCAGCTCCAAAAAAATGGTGCAGTTTGTCTTCGACAGAGTTAGAAAGCCCATAGAGCTTAAAAAAACAAGGAAGGATGCCCTGGTGCAGATGGGAAATGAATAATTAGTTTTCCTACAAAGAAAATGAAACAGGCTGCAAGATGCATAAAACCACATTTAGGCTCTATTACATTTACAAATACATACATAAATATATTACATACAACAGCAACTCAAAGAGGAAGCGGGCGAGTCACACAGAGGATGGCTGGCTGGCTGCAGTTCTCCCCGCACAGACGTTTGGCTGAGCAGTTACTTCTCCTAATAATTCCAGGAATGGGCTTCGTCTTTTTTTCTTTTTCTCTTTTCTTTTGTTTTATTCTCCTCCTCTCCTTTCATTCTCTCCCCCCTCCCCGGTTTCGGATTTAGTTTGTCCAGTATGGAGAAGTGCCATAGGCGGTTTTGGTAGCCTGAGACTTTTGCTGCATGGTGCTGGGTTGGTTGCGTTGGCCAGATCCACCCTAGAAATCAGAGATGAAGGAGACATGGGCATCAGCTGCCACAGCACCAGTGCTCCCAGGAAGACGAGCCCATCCAAATGTCGCCAGAAGAGCTGCCACCCCTGGGGACAGCCCTGACACCCACCACTGCAGCGATGCTCCCCCCCCGAACAGATCCATTTCTGCCCTCCAACATGTCCGCATCTCACAATCCAGGACAAGTGGCCACAGAGACACCAAGTAGGAGCACGGGGAAGCCCCCTCCCACTGCCCACCACCCTCTCCCCCACCCAGGTCAGGTTCAAGCACAAGGAAGCAGAGGAGCAGGACTGGGGACAGCAAAGGAGCTCTCTCAAGGTGAATGGAGGCGGTGCACCAGCCAAGGATGTCACACATTTGGAGACAGAAGTAATTTCCTATTTTTGGACTCTAAGGCAGAACACTATTTTTTCAGACAAAATTTATAGTGAGGAAAGGAAACACATGGGCTGGTGAAACCAAATCAGAGCCAACACACAACCTGCAAGGGGATGCTCCATTTTTGCCCCAGAGTTGCAGTACAAGTTCTCATGTCCTGCTGTCCTGCCGCAGCCAGGGGACAGCGGCACCTGCCTCGGCTTCAAACCTCACAGCCCATCTCTCCACACTCCACACCAGGACGGGTTCTTCACAGAATCACAGGCTGGCTAAAGCTGGCAGAGATCTCTCGAGGTGTCTTGCCCAACCCCTCTGCTCAAGCAAAGCCAGTTGCCTAGGACAATGTCCAGAAAGCTCCAAGGATGGAGACTCCACAACCTCCCTGGGCAACCTGTGCCAGTGCTTGGTCGCTATCCCAGTAGAAAAGTGTTTCCTGATGTTCAGACGGAACCTCCTGTGTTTCAGTTTGTGCCTGTTGCCTCCGTTTCTGTCACTGGGCACCGCTGGAAAGAGCCTGGCTCCAATCTCTTTACACCCTCCCTTCATGTATTCATATACATTGATAAGATCTCACCCTGAGCCTTCTCTTCTCCAGGCTGAACAGTCCCAGCTCTCCCAGCCCTTCCTCACAGCAGAGATGCTCCAGTCCCTTCATCATCCTTGTGGCCCTTTGTTGGACTCTCCAGTACATCCATGTCTCTCTTGTACTGGGGAGCCCAGAACTGGACACAGAACTCCAGGTGTGTCCTCACCACTGCTGAGCAGAGGGGAAGGATCAGCTCCCTCGACCTGCTGGCAATACTTTAATGCAACTCAGGATCCTGTTGGCCTTCTTGTAGCAAGGGCATAGTGCTGGCTCATGGTCAACTTTGTGTCCACCAGGATCCCCATGGCCTTTTCTGCAAAGCTGCTTTGGCCCCCAGCATGTCCTGGTGCATGGGGTTGTTCCTCCCCAGAGGCAGGACTTGGCACTTGTCCTTGTTGAACTTCATCAGGTTCCCTCCCCAAGCTGGTCAGCAGCATCGAGTCTGTCAGTCTGCAACCATTGCCAGGGCCCTTTCCCAATGAGCAAAGCAAAAACCAGAAGGAAGCAAAAACCTCCTAGACCCTGCTGGGATGTGGGGCGGGGGGAGCAATCTGTCCTTAGGCACGCTGTAGAGGCAGAAGGGGCCGACTCACCTGCCCATCTTGCTGAAGATGGTGATGCAGCATCTGGGAATGAGGCTGCTGATGCGCAGGCAGGATATGGAGAAACGGAGCTGGAGCATAACCTGGGGCAGCACCAGGGTTCAGGGGCCCAGTTGATCCAAGAGCAGAGGGCAGGCTGAAAGGAGGTGGCGTGCCAGCGTGGAATCCCTGCTTGTCAAACGTCTGCACGGGAATTGAGGAGGACAGTGTCAGAGCCTGGTGTGAGCACTGCCACGGTGACCAGAGAAGAACAAAAGTGGCCCAAACACACATGACTTAAACCTTTCACCAACCCATGAGCAAGTTAAGTCACACTGAATACCTGCGAGCACTTCAGCAGATGAGTTTCAGCTCCTGTTCTCACCCATACTTCTGCACTAATGCTTCCGACATTTCATTTTATTTTTATTTCCACAGCTACTGTGTACTTTTTTACCCTGACCTCTTTTTACTCAGCAGGATATGGGATGGCAGCAGCTGGCTGAAATCAGTCCTTCATACATTGTGGAGGCTCAGCCTGGAATTACTTGACCTATCCAAGGCAGCCCAACAAAACCGCAAGAACTTGCACTAATATTTTCCTCCCCCTGGTCAATGCTTGAACCTTAATGCTAAGCGTGCAGCTGAGAGTTGGCTTCCTACCTGTAAGCATGGATGACAGCCAGACACCGATTCCCCCAGCTGAGGGTGCAAGGAGGAGAAAACAGGAGCTGGGCATAAACCCACTGCACACCACAGCTTGTCAAAGCACTTTCTGCTTTCCCTGGGAAGCCCTGTGCTGAGCAATGGCCATAGGAGAGCGTGAGACAGGGACCCTCGGGTGTTAGGGGTGGGCACTGCTGACTGGTCTCTCTGGTGAAAAGCAAACAGCCTCTCAACTCACCTTGTCTGGGGACGATTTTGACTAAAAACATTAGCACCATCACATTTAATTTGCACCCAGGACACAGCTCACATGGGGCAGTGTGCGCAGCATGCAGCAGTGTACAGCACTGCAGCTATGCCAGCAGCTGCCATCAGGAACTGACATGGCAGAAACGGTGGGACAGAGGACGAGACTCTACTCCAACACCAAACAGAGCCACCATAAGAAATGCCACGGCCCGCTGACCCTGAGACTAACGAGCATGGGAACAGGAGGGGAGCCATCGGCCTGGCCTCAGGCCAGGAGGGAGGAGGTTCCAATGTTGCTCACCTGAGTCTTGTTATAGACTGAGCCACTGATATCAGGCACACCTGTATTACTTGAGGTCACAGAAACACCTGGAAAACAAAACAGCCACCAACAAGGAGGAAGTCAACGACCACGCAGCATTAGCCCCATGCTTTGTTCCTGGCACCTCTGTCGGCCTTGGTGGATGCACCTTCGTCTGCAGCCACTGCACCACACGCCCTGCTGCTGCTGTCAGCCAGCCCAGAGGGGTTCTCCGTGCTCTCAGACCCACAGCAACCCAACAGTGGAACAGAAGAAAGGGCTCAGTTCCTTGCTCCTGCTGCAAGGTGGGAAACCAGCCCACTCTGATAAATCACCCATATCCACGACCCAGCAGTTACCACTTGGATGCAAATGCACCTCACCAGGCAGCACCTGGCCGCACTGAGCACTCGTTTACGTTCACGTAAAGCCAGCCTTCCCCTAGGATTAGGGATGCGTTTGGCTCTGTTGCAGCATTCAAGAGCTTTCCAGTAGTGCACTGAGCAATGATACTCTGCATCTGCTACACATTTGAGCCATTGTCCTTCCACATTCTGCAGAAGGATGAGGTCTGCAATGCTCCTCTGCCTTGAGAGAATTAATATCATTTGATTCAGACTGGCTTCCACCTGGACCAGCTGGTGCCACAACAGGCTCAGAAACACTCACTTACCAGCGAGGTGGCTCTCAAGCCAGCCACTTATTCACAGTCTTATAAAGACTGGCTCTAATCATTTCACTCAGATCAGAGTAAAAACAGAAGTTTCTTTGGCCAGTGAGTCAGAAGTCTGGACTTAGAAGGTTTGCACTGCTCTAAGGCTGTACCCTTCCTAGAACATTGCTCCTTTTTGGATTGCTCCCCCACAGAGGACAGTGTGATCAGATCTTGCCTGAGGACAGTCCAGTTGGTGTTTCAAATGCACAGCAAATGCTTGGTATTTGCTTAAGCCCAAGGATGAACCAGTTAGTGCTAAGCAGTTCAGTATACATTTCTCAGGTCTAACCAGCATGTGCAGAATAAAGCTTTTGTATAAGCTGTATAAATTCTTCACCCTTTACAGTCACAAATGAAACATTTCCACGCTTGAAATAATGTGATGAGTTACAGGGTGCACGAACAACAGCCCAGAGATGTGTGAACTGCCCTGCTGGGCCGTAACACACGGCTATCTCAGGTGCCTACCAAGAAACTCAAAATCTAGTCATCATTTGGCAGAGGACCATTTCAGCAGCAGCATCCAGCTGCTTAGAGTTAGTGCAGGACCACTACTCTTCAACAGAGAAAACCTGGGAGGAGGAAACAGCTCACCATTTCTCCCATGTATAGTTGTGGACAAAACTGCACATCAGCCACACAAATCCTCACGCAAAGTTCAGCTATGAGGTTTAGAAGGAACACTTGGGCCATTAACAAAGCATTTTGTACACGGGAGATGGAGAAACAGCTTGGATCGTGACCCTGTTTAGAGCTGGCTGCTGTGTTGACTGCACAGCACTGGGAGTTTGCCCTACTAAATCCCACTCAAGAGCAACCTCAACTCTCATATGTTACCTTTCCCAGGTCCAGTGCCAGCAGATTTGTTTTGTGCTTGAGATGACCCACTGTAGCCTCCTTTGCTGTAATCTCCAGCTGCCGTTCCCTGCGTTAAGTCATCATAGCCTGCCGGTGTGTACAAGACAAGGTGTTACAGTGTGCAAGCAGCTCTGCAGACACTCACATGAAAAGCGCAGTGGTAAGCATACCTGCTCCATAGCTGTGCTGCCCGTAGCCACTCGCTTGCTGGAAAGGAGTCGATGCGGTGTTCAGGTTGACCCCATGCTGTTTAGCAGATGCTGGAGGTACCTGGACAAAGGAAGGGAACAAAAGGTGCTGTTAACCGGGGAATGCAGATAAAGTGCAAACTCCTTCTGCCATCTAGTGGGGAAGGCACCTCCACCTGACGTGGGAAATTTAACTTGGAGTTGGGAGCACTGGGATGGCATGGGACACGGCACTCTCACTTCCAGGAGTAACTTGCTGTAGCGGATGTGTGCAAGCCCCAAGTTTTCCGCTAGAGCCGCCCCTCTGATTGCAACCCTCGCTCGGAACAGGCTGCATATTTCTTTCATACACTGAACGTAAACAGCAAATTCTTAGCCACAAACACAAGAAGGAGAAACCGCAGTGCTCTCCCTCCAGAACCAAATGAAACATCAATTCCTGCCTGAGGCTGTTTCGTAAAACACCGTCCTACAGAACTCTAAAATAGACTCATCTCTTCCCAAATAACCTTCCTCCTCCGGAGACTACCAGCACTGCTCTCTGACTTAATGGGGTCCCCTCCTTCCTTGAAAGGATCTCCTAGGCACTCTCTGCTCACTGACTCAGCCTTGGGTCTCCCTTTGACTCTCCAGAGATTGGTAAGGGCTTTCAGGAACACCGAATCCATGAACTGCAGCTGTTTGCTATTTACAGTAACCTGCGCAGGAGTCCATGAGTTCTGGCCTTTTAAATTTCCATTTTTCTTGGGGAAGGGACTGCAGCTACTTTCTCAGGCTTGCAAGTTTTTGGAGTTCCCTTGCAGATTGGGGAGGATGACTCTACTCCGTTCCCATGAGACCCCACCTGAGTACTGGATCCAGCTCTGGGGTCCCCAGTACAAGAAGGACATGGACCTGTTGGAGTGGGTCCAGAGGAGGGCCATGAAGATGATCCGAGGGCTGGAACATCTCTCCTATGAAGAAAGGCTGAGAGACTTGGGGTTGTTCAGCCTGGAGAAGAGAAGGCTCTGGGGAGACCTTACTGTGGCCTTTCAATACTTAAAGTGTGCTTATAAGAAAGATGGAGAAAAACTTTTTACCAGGCTTTGTAGTGACAGGTCAAAGGGCAACAGTTTTAAACTGAAAGAGGGTACGTTTAGGTTGGACACAAGGAAGAAATTTTTTATGATGAGGGTGGTGAGGCACTGGAACAGGTTGCCCAGAGCAGTTGTGGGTGCCCCATCCCTGGAAGTGTTCAAGGCCAGGTGGGACGGGGTTTTGAGCAACCTGGTCTGGTGGGAGGTGTCCCTGCCCATGGCAGGGGGGTTGGAACTACGTGGTCTTTAAGGTCCCTTCCAACCCAAACCATTCTATGATTCCAAGATGTAGAAGATTTGGGCTGGAGAGAGCAAAACCAGAAAGGCATGAAGGGAGGGTTACAGTTTAGGCTGCCACACTTACAAACATAGTTGGCCCATACTGGAATGCACTGGGTACACCGGGCATACCAGCGTAATAAGGTAACCCAGTGTAGCTGTACCCCGGGGGCAGGGTCGGGTTGAGGAAGGGCTGCTGAGTTGTATGGTGAGTCTGCGTCTGGTTCTGCTGCGGCTGGGCAAGCGTGGTAGCAGGAGCAGGGGAGGCAGAATCCCCACGGCCAAATTTTGCTACGTCACCTGCGAAAGAAAGAACTGATCAGAGAAGCTATCAAAGCTACTCCAAGAGTGGAGGACTCAAAGGATTCAAATCCTCTGAATACAAGTAGACAACTGCAGAAGAGAGCACATCCTACACTTGAAAGCCTGCAGTTGTTCATGGGAAGCACTCTCCCTGTCTCTGCTCCTGACGGCCACAGGGACACTGCCTGCTCGTGGCACAGAACTCCATGGCATTGCTAATCCATTGATAAAATGGAGATACCAATACTTACCTATCTCACATGGTCTGAGCAGATTTATTACTATTGCAATAAAACATGCTAAAAGCAGAAGTATGGTAAATAGCCAAAGAGCAAATGGTTGTTGGGTTAAAGTGTGACTCTCCTGGAGGTTAAACTGGTCAGCTAAGCTTCATGGGTTGAAAACAAGTTAGGCTTTACAGGCAGTGATAGGCATATTTTTGTCAATGTCTGTTTATTTATCAAGCATGACTAGTTAGATATCCGGTTCCTCACACCACCAAAGTTCTGGAGACAGTAGCTGAAGGCCAGGAAAGCAAGGCTTGCATCGCGGGCCACCTTATTGAAGAAGTAGGAAGGGAAATTTGGTTATTAACCCAAATACAGCCTCCCGAGAGAAGTGATTATGAAGCAGAAAATTCCTGAACACTTGCATTTTCTGGCAGCCTACAGAGCAGCATGTTCATGTGTGTTTTAGGGAGGTGGCATACATCTATCACATCTATCTCATTCTCAACCAATATTCCTTTTTGTTGGTTACAAAGAAGTGTGACAACACTTAACACCATCATTATAGGAATTATAATGCCTATGGCTACAGTTTTAAGCTGTAATCCTGGCTGAAAATCCTGGATTGCATTAATGCCATCTTTGCACGATGATAACTGAAGATATGAGGGAGGGCTTCTTAGACTATGTGATTTTAGGAATGAAGCCCATTAGATTTGGGGAGGGTGAGGGAGAGCCTGCTGGATGCAGCTCCTGCTGGGAACATACGAGTGCTAAGAGAGCAGTAACAAGGTACGGTGAGCTGCTGAGGGGTGGTCTATTCCAGTACCAAAAAAGGCAGGAAAGCCAGTTGAATTTCAAGAAGAAAGATTAAGCTACAGAGTATTTTTCAAGCACCTGTATGTGCTTGGGAATGGCACTAGATGACTCTGTCGTTTACATCAGTAACAACTCTGCACTTGTTCACAGAGGCTATCCAACTTAGTGCCAGAAGAAGTCACTTATGAATTACTGGCCGAAACCATGAAGAAATATCAGTGAGAGGGAGATGCTCGCTCTTGTTTGACTGGTTTGGACTGATGGGTTTAACTGCTTACAGAAGGGAAAAATGATTGCTGTTTCAGCTACGGCAAGATGACCTCCATTTAGAAACCAGCACATCTCACTCACCATCCTTTTCTTTTAAATAGCACTCACCTGAGTATGGGTTGTTAGCAAGGCTCCCATCTCTGCCTGTTAGGGTTGCAGGAGCAGGGAATGTAATTCCATAGTAATCCTTGGAAAGAGACAATATCGTTTATTAATAGTTGAAATCATAACAGAGTTGGACAGCTCTTACGAACACTGTATTATACACATAAGAAAATTTAAAAAGCAAGAACTAAAGAAAGTTTGGGCAGAAGCTGACCTTATTGCTTCCAGCAAGGCTGAGGATTTACTTGGATCCTCAACTTCAAAATAAACCTACTTTATAGACATTTTAAATATTATATACAAATAATTAATCTCTTAATTGTAAGTTAAAGGCAATGACTAAATGCTTTTCCCTCCCAGCCCTCAGCTCTGAGCTGTCATCTTCCAGTGAGACTCCACCTGGAAGAGCAACAGACTTTCAGGGGCCAAAGACTTGGGGTCACACCAGGACCTTAATCACAATGTGGATGTAGTCTAAAGGTTTTACCCTTGTACCATGCCCTGTTTTCTAAAAGTGGAAACACAAGCTAGGGAAACAGCACAAACATTGTAAAAAAAAAAAAAAAAAAAAGGACAAAAAGAGTCACTACCAGATGACTGGAAAATTTATTTATATTAAACTACATTACAGGAGGCCTCAGATCAGTAGTCTCCAAAGTGAGGTGCGCAAGACAATCCACTGGGGTGCATGAAGAAAATGGTTTTGGTACCATTAATAAACAAAATTTAAAGTATTTTAAAATAATGTTTAACCATTCTCTCATCCATTTTTATTTTTGTGTATGTTTTATAACATACACATTAGTACAGTAGTGTATATATATATAATTTAGAAATAAAAATACATTGGGGTGAGTGCTCACAAACTTTTTATTGATGGGGTGTGTGATCAAAAAAGGTGGAAAGCACTGCCTTAGAGCATTCTTCTAGGTCCTCTACAGGAAGGTAAGAGAGTCATAACCCTAAAAAGCTTTCACTCTGAGATGACAGGACATGCCAGCAAAACCAAAGCAGCATTCTGATTTTACTTTGTGAGAAAAAGAGTAAAGTTTGCCCTTCAATCTCAGAGTGAACTCCACATGTGGGGCTGGTACTCTAGCAAGCATTTTTCCTCCTAATTCTCATGGTTTACTTCTCACCACCTCGAATCCATCAAGAGTTAATACTTTAACCACTAACATATCTATTTCCACACATTCTCCAACACTGGAAAAACATCCTCCCTCTTGATACCGCTCTCTGCAAATTCCCCAGCATCTCAAATGCTTTCTCAGAGCTGACAGCACCTTCTACCTTGCTGCATTTCTGTGCATTACCCCACTGTTTCCTACACCCAGTCCTCCAACACTGAAATTTAAATAATCCAGCAAAGATTTAGTGTTGGAGACGCTTTCTGTAACTTGAAATGGTGCCATATTTCATCATCCTTTCATTAACAGGTAACTCCACGTTATTAACTCTGGCATGAACCACTTCACAAAACAAAACCAAATTCACATTAAGTCTTAGCAGGTTACTCAAAAGCAGCGCTCCCATCTACTTCCAAGGAAAGCGCCACAAAAAGCAGATTTGGAGAAGAGATCTGAACAGGACTTGGTGGATATGAACTGGAACTGACACACTAGCATCTTTCACTATATAAACTGGACAAAATATAACCAAATCTGCATGAGAAGACAGTATAAGGATTGCAATTATTCCCACTGCCTCTCAAGTGGGGGAAACCATATTAGTACTGCATATCCCTATCCCACACAGCTGTGCATACACACATTAAAAACAAAAAAATCATTAGAAAATAAGAGTGCAAGCTAGTTATCTTTGTACTTCATGCCCACCCACAGGAAAATATCAGAAGAGATACTGTGCCCTTCAAACAACATGGGTATTTCCTAACCTCCAGAAAGCATGCAGGAGAAGGTGCCTAAAGTCAAAACCGAAGTATCAGGAATAGACTCAAAAACAGAAACAGAAAAGGACTGGAAAATTGTAAGTTATCTGATGTAATAGATTTAAGCTCTACCAAACAGCTCGCTGGGTACCACACACACCAAGTAAGGCATTTCTAAGATCTCTGCTACACAGGCAGCCTTCAACAGACTAACAGAAGAGATAGCATGTCCCGATGCAATACACACACACAAAAAAAAAAAACCAAACAAAAAAACCCCAATCCAACCCAGGGAGAATTTACAGTATCAACATACACATTAACTGAGCTAAATTAAAAAAGAACACCTTCCCCAACCTCAGGAGAAACACCCGTTCTCGCTGTATCAGCAGCCACTGGTATCTCTTGCTGCTGGAAGCTTCCCAGGAAGCAGTGACAACTTGCACTTGGAACTCTGCCCACTTTCACATTCTAGATCTAAGCGGACTGGCACATCAAAGACAAATATTCTCACCTGCATCTGTCTCCCAAACACCTAATGTTGCCCAATTTCTACAAAAAATTCAAAACACAATAAAGAAACTCCAAAATCTAGAATTCACAGTCATTGAATGAATAGCTGATGAAAAATCCATTGTGACATTTATGCATTTATTTCTAAATATCAACACACTGAGGACAAATAATTTGGGGGGCAGGGAGGACGACATATAGCGCTGAAAACACTCTGCAAGTCATTTGCAGAGAGAGGAAAAACTTTTCCACCAGGAAAGCTGCAGATGCCATAGAGAAAGGAAAAAGTGGGGAGCGGGGGAATGACACGCTAAAACTGAAGACTAAAAATATCTGTCAATAAGAAATAAAGGAAAACATGCATTAACTCATACATACAAATAATATCACAGTGTGAAAGAAGAAAAAAAGATGTTGGTAGAAAGAAAAAAAAAAAAAGAAAAAGA